TACCTGATAACGGGCTAATGCGCTTCCCGGGTTAATCTACACAGATCGTTTCAAAACATAAAAATGCCAAACAAATAAAACAAATAGAGTATTATCCGTGTAAAGGTGTGAAGCGCATTTGCTTGGCGCTCTAATCAATAGGTTAATTCGATAGTCACTTAAACGTGACGTCCTTTCAAATGTCGTTTTGACTGTGTTTTTCAGACCTACTTCTTCTGTGAGGAGTCGAATTCCTCCAAACATACGCACAGCACCAGGTTCGAGAATATTGCACCTACCAGTAAGTATTGCCTATTTTGTCTTGGCAAAAGATGCTGCGCCAATTCTGTGTATTGAATGCAATCCTTATTATGTTTCAGGGCGGAGATCAGGAACAGTCGGTGCATTCGCGGATGGTCGTTTCGACTGAGCCGCCGGTTGTGAGGACGAGTTACGAGCAACCGGTGGACCCTTTCATGAAAAGAATGGCGGTGGTGGAGAAAGCTCCGTCAGCTCCAACACCATCATCACAGAGAATGGTTAGAGCATGATTCAATTTTCCATGGTTTTATCAAGTGTGAGGATCTAGCATGGGTATTATTTTTCAGATTCGTCATGTGCCCATGCCTATGGAGTTGCATGGTGGTGAAATGTATTCTGATTCTGTCTTGAAGGATGATGTAAGTGGTTCACGTCTCTGAACATGAATGCACTCTTTGTAAATCCATCACAATTTTTTTGTTCAGGAACAAGTGGTGTACAACGATCAGCGGTTTGGAACTCATTCTGTAGACAGGTTTCATCCATCTAGGTACGATTATTTGCCTTTTTTCAGTTTCCGCTTAATTCGTTTTGGCTGCCGTATAAAATGCTCTGCCTACGACTCTCAAGGACCTTATTTTTTCAGAAGCGCTTTTATATTTTTCTTGCTTACGGGGATAGTTTGTTGGAATGAATTGAATGGGAGGCCATGGGTTTTCTACAAAACGATTGTCTCGAATCAAGTCTAATTTTTTGTTTCACTAATTAAGGTTGTGTAAATTATAGCAAAATAATTTAGATACGCCCAAAATTCGTCATCCATCGAGCAGTTCCGACCGTGATGCCACGCCCATATGATGGGTGGTCTAGAGTGCAGTCAAATTCCGTAAGTATATTTTTCGTCGACTGTTATAATTAATTTTAATCTTTTATATCTTGTCTAGTTAAAAAGAACGCACATCGCTGTCTTGCTCGCTTTTTAAGTACGAATGTGTCAGAACATGTTCAGAGTTCTCCACGGGTATACTACGTAAAAAACGCCGTGACGATCCCATCGCGCGTGGTGCTGGCGCCTGCGCCGGTGGAGAGTTATGTTCGCGAAGAGGTTGTATACGATAACGACTTGGCTATGTCGTCTGACTGGCGGCGAAATTCAACGCATTTCTGGGAATGCATACATCGAATGGACCTATATGTAGTTTTCGCTGAAGCAGAGTTCCCGCTTGTTTAGCTAAGCCCGTCCCCAACCGGCTCGAAACAAGCGCATGTTGAATTTTGTGATCAGATCTAGGTATTTATTTTCCTTTCAATTTCGAGTTTGGTAGCTCTCCCCTTGTATTGGCCAGGTGTAAGCTGCGATTCGTTCATGTTAATATATTGTTACTTTTTTGTATAGCGGGAGCAGTTCTTTCACTGAAATTGTGCATCAATGTTGTTGAGAATATTTGCTCGTTGTTCTGATCGTGTGAGGCCTTCATGGTCTTTAGGTTTATTTCAAATTGTTTCAATAACTAAGCAGGTTTGTTCCTCTCATAATCATTTGTCTGTTAGTTTTCGTCAAAATTTTAGTGCTTTTTGGTGGATTGAATGTATATCAACGTTTTGTTCATTTCGAAATGCTTTTATTGGACGCTGCACTGTTATTTGATATAATGTTCTTATCTTGCTGTTTAATGGTGTCTCATCACGATCAGTACAAGATGTTACGGTTTTGAAATCATGCCGCATTTCCAATTTTTGCGAAAGATGCCTGGCATTAAAAGGTCAGGGTAGGGGGGGGGACGAACGTGCTGCGAATGACTGCTTAGGTTTCTTGGTTCAGAAGTTCGCGATCTCGCTCTTTCCGCGATTTGCGCGATTTTTGCGAAAACTTGCGATGGATCACAGGAGTTGGAAGTGCCCGATGAATACTGCGAGGTGTTGTTTAATCCTGCTGCGAATTCTGCTTGGCAGTAAAGATTGGAAGACGAATGTTTGTGGTTCTACTTGTTTCATGTTCAATGTCTATTAGTTCATTGAAATGCTCTTGAATCGTTCCTATTTTTTTTTTTTCAGGAATCAAACCAAACCAATCACAAAAATTGCAAGTGCCCCATTTGAACAATTGAAACACTGGATATGAAACAAGTGGAATCATGAGCAGTCTCCATTAAACCATAACCATCAAGCAGAAGTGACGGCGGGATTGGAGAACACCTTGCAGTATTGATGGGGCACTTGTGATTTCCGTGACCCGTCGCGCAATCGCGCAAAGGATCGCGGACTCTGACATAGCCTTAGTGATATTTTAGCTAGGTGCTTAGTGAAAAAGGGGAGGGGGAAGAAGTGAGCCATGATCAATGAATTTGGCTGGAGCGAAACTTCGCCAAAAACCTAATACCGTCTCGCCAGTTAAGGCCTGCAAACCTGCCTGCGCTCCCTCTAGATGATACCCAGTACTACCGGGAAACATGACATCCTCGAGAAACCGATGTTGAGGAGATGACTATTCTGAGCTCTCTCTAGAATTTCGAAAATAGTTTGGATATGCCAGGGCAGCGCTTATGGATAATATCTACACAATTTGTTACTAGCTAAAAACTCTAAACAATGTTTCACAAGAATGCTGGGTTCTGAACAAACAAATCGAACGAGGGGTGCGGGTTCGAGTCCCGCCTGGGGCGAAAGTTTTGTTCACAACCCAGCATTCTTGTGAAACATTCGCAAGGCGAACTGCGGCCAAAAACAGCAGTTAACAAACAAAAACAAGTCAAAATTCTCTAAACAATCATTTTTGCAAGAATGATGCTCGTCAGTTAAAAACGCATTAACAAAATTTGGTATCAGCTACATATCCGCTAGAATGTCCTTTTATCTCAGTTTGGATCATCATTGCCAATGCGTCGAATAACAAGCTACAAGGAGTTCTGCAGAAGAAGAGGAGTCAGCATGAGGTAATTCTGATTTTTGGATGTTCGGGTCAACTACTTCTTGTATAGCCTTTATGTTATGTTCGTATTGAGTGTCATGCATTGTAAAGGAGTGGAGAAGCGTAGAGGAGTGGGGGGGGGTAAGGTTTATTGCTCATTGCAGGACGTATACGAGTGAAATTGTAAATAAAAAGTAAATGCAGTCAGTTATTCCTCACTTTGTACTCTCTTCAGCCATTTTGTGAGCTGGAAATGTGGAGCTTCATCTATCAAAAAAATCAGAACTACTATCAGTTAATGGTCATAACTCTGATCAGATCGCAAAGGTCTGGCTCAGTTGCGAATTCCTCTCCCGAAGAGCAGAAAAAGCAAAACAGCAGGATTTCCCCTACAGCAAAGCATTCACTGGCAGTGTGACGATTAGGCATAGCGATATCATGAGAGGGCATCTCGCCTTCAGATTCTGAAAACAATTGAGTACCTCCTCCCGAGTGATAAATACTGAATAACTTGTCTTGGATTGTGATTTATTTTTTATTTTGCTGTTGTAGATTTTTAAATGAGGATTCGACGATAAAGTTGGAAAGTGAGAAGTGGAAACTAAATGGAAAGGCAGGCGGCCGCTAAGAGTGCGGGGCGAGGCGCGTTTTGCAGTGAAGAGTATGCCTCAGCGGCCCAGCAGGGCCATATCCGCGTCGCTCGCCCGCTGGACTCCCACCGATTGGCTGCTCCCTCACCATCTGACTCTGGCCGCCCTAGTGTGTGAGAGCGTTAGCGTGAGCATCTATGAGAATCGCCCAACCGCATATCAGCGGGCAAAAATAGGGTCCTATTTCTCTCGTTTCAAAAAGTTTTTCTTTGCTTCTTCACCACTGCATCTGATCATCTCTACCTTATTTCTAATGGGCTGCCTTGGTGAATTCCGCTTTTAAGGCTCGGAAAACGTAGAATAGAATCTAAGAAGAAAGGATTCCGTTCAGATTTGAAATATTCCGCTATTAGATTATAAATAACGATCTGGTAACAACTGTTGTTTTGGGCTTTAAACCGCAAGTGGATCTGGCTACATTATGGAAGGTCAACAGCGGGCGTGTAAATTCGATAAGGGGTTCTAAAAAGGTTTCTCGTCCTAGTTTATGTGAACAGCCAAATGAAAACGACTGTCAGTGACTTTTCCCGACTATTTTTATGACTACACAGGAATTGCATTAGGTCAGCCAAGAAGTCAAAATAGCGTATTATTGCTAGGGCGCCCACACGACCTTATCGTTTCGATTTTGAAAACAACGAGGATGAAGAGAGAGCGATTGCTGAAGCAATTGCGAGAGAAGAAGAACTTATGCGACAGGAAGAGGCTGACAAAGGAGGACGGCCAGAGCCGGGAGCCAGAGATCGTACGTTTATTTTAGCTTTCTGCTTTCTGAACACTCGAGCATTACCTTTATTTCAGCAGCAGGTCGGCCTTATGACGAAGATCCTGAAGAACATGCACGAATGGTGCCGTCTCATTTCGGAATGGGCTTTTATCCTCAGCCTGCTATTCCCCGATACACATCCAACTTGGCTGTTCACAGGGATGACAGCCCTGACACCCGAGCTGTGAAGCAGGTGGGAGTATCGCATCGTGATATAAAATTTGAGGAAAGCTGTGATTTTTGGGTAAACTCTTCTGCAAACTTTACGGTTTTGGCTCGTTTGACCACTTTCGGCGGTTCCTGCGATACATTTGTTGTCCTAAGGCTGCTGAATAATTGTGTCGTATGCTTCCCTTCGGGTGGGTGGTGTAGTGGCAAGTGGCGCGCTTACCACGCGAGCGGTCCGGGATCAAATCCTGGGTCGTGAGTCGCCCGGGCCAACCAAGCCTTCCATCCCTCCGGGGTCGGTTAATTGGTACCAGACTTGTCTGGGAGGATACTTGTGATCGGTACATCGGCTGGCCCCGTAGGCCACATCGCATTCAAACGCCACTACGAATGTACAAATGGAAGTAGAATGCGTGCCGCATCCCAGAAAGGGATTGATCAACGGCAAATGCTTCATACTTTTTTATTTATGCTCTCCTTCGGGGATGAAAAGTTCTTTGAAAAGGCTATTCGGGAAAAACTTTAGGGGGTAGTGTAAGACGTGAGAAGTGAGGGCCTGAAGTAGGCGATCGGGATGAGACTTGCTTTCATGCGAGAAATCAACGGGTTAGCGTTTTCAGTCCCCTATTCTAATTCTATTTCACTCGCTTCTCCCTGAAGTGTCAAAGGATGCATGATAGCTCGCAAGTCCCCATGGCTAAATAGATTGGCAGAGGATCAACAGTGCGATCTTCTCAAGTTTTTTTTTCAATGTTCTTCACCTCGGGAGGAATAACGTCACAGCTTCCTCCTCAAGCAAACTTGGACCAGGGCCCGTACCTTTTGTTGAAAATTCCCGTGAGGTACAAGACCCGACTTCGTGTTGTTATTGAAGCAATACGTTTTGCTTTGAACTCAGTACCTTTGAGATAACTTTTGCAAATGAATTATGAAAAGATGTTTCAGGTGCTGGAGACGATGGTAATGCAAGCTTGCCGTTGGGATAAGCAGTTTGGTTGGTACAAAAACCTACTGATGAAACCATCCAGGCCACATTTCGATAGATTCAAGTACGTGCTTCTGCTTGTTCCCAGTTTTTAATCCATTAGCAAGGTAAAGTAAGTTATGAATGGTTTTTCTGCAGGCGTCGCATGTTCACAAATCAAAGAGAGACAGTCCTCGCTGAGCATATTGACAGGTTACGCAAGGAAATTAATAAAAGGAGAACACGATTGGAAAACAAAGCTGAGGAGATGTGTGGATTACCGACTCCGTGGAGGAAATCGCGTATGAAATCTCACATGAGAGGTGAATGTTTGAGCAACAGCAAAGAATGTTTTTTGGAGTCAAAACTGGTCCTATTCAAATGCTTTGTTCTGATATTATGAATGAGGAGAGTTAAGAAATTCTAGGCTATCAAGGCTCATAGTTCCACTGAATTCAAGCGCCTCAGTTATCCATTTTATGTATTTTTGGTGAGGTTGGGTGGCCTGAGCAGAAAAGACATAGTTTCATTACTATTTATCATTACTTTTTTGTGCTACTATTGAGAAAGCTTGTTCGAAGATCAATTTTGCGCTGCTAATGTGCTGTTCTTTTAG